TCAATTCCCCAAGATGAGCCACATTTAAAAGTCATTTTAGTCATCGAATCTTAGAAAGTCATATAAAACTGAGCAGTTGTTTCACTTTCCTTCTAGATTCGTCAACATTCTTTCTCAAATCAACTGTTGCTACTTGACTGGTTGCACGACTTAGAATAATAATATTAATAAGAATGAGGTAATTAATTAATTACGCCTGTTATCCCTTATCGAGTAGCATAGACCACCCACCAGTATTCTCCATCCAACACTATCCTCGACAATCCTTTCCACTTGCTTCCGATTTCTAATCACTCTTTTCAACTCCGCTTCCGATTCCCTACGTAGTGTGTTTTTCAGCCTTCCACTCTTCCATTTCCCTTCAGGATTCCAAGTTGACTGTTACATAGTGATGCAGTTTTATGATTTCCCCATTGTATGTTCTATCCACTCTCAACATGACTTCCTAATCTCCTCTTCAAATGGAATCTGACATTTTCTCTCTCACTGTAGGTTGTCGCTGATGGTATCTTTTTAATCGACATTCAGCATCTTACGTAGTAATAAGAATAATGGTTTTGTCATTAATTGTTATTTACACATTGTTTTATCGTAAAAATTGATTAGAAATAGAATTGTTAGATAAATTTTAAAACCTTAAGTGTATCTTAATGTAAAACAGAAAATAACTGGAAATGACAACATCATATAAGCACAGCTTCACTTAACCTAAGAGATAAATTCATTTGGTATATTACTAAATCACATAAAAATTCAAGCTATTTATAACACATTTTTGTAAGCAATGTTGGATAGCAGCTAGCAGTGGAATCCAGGACGCGCGTTTCGTCCTATTTGGGACTCGTCAGCTGGATGTACCTGCATCTCAGAGTTGACATTCACTCTGGAACTCGAACCCAGTACCATTCGCTTCAAACGACATCGCGTTATCCACTCAGCTACTGAGTCCTGATAGCCACTTACTTGTGCAATGGGGTGAATTTAAATTCACTTGGTATTGTTTGGCTTGTATTTTCTCATTGAGGTTTAAGACAGCAATTGGTTAGTCTCTTATTGGCATATGTGCATGCTGTGCGTATGCCTCGATATTACCTTAATTCACTAGCTTTTTGCAAGCAATGATGGATAGTGGCTGGCAGCGGAATCCAGGACGCACGTTTAATCCTATTTGGCATACGCACAGTATGCACATATGCCAATGACAGACTGATAAATTGCAGTCTTAAGTCTTAATGGGAAAATACAAGCCAAATAATACCAAGTGTATTTATAACGCATGTGTTCTAAATGTTATCTTTGTAGAAAACTGTTACAATTTCACCAATCTGAACTATATATTTATGTCACTTATAACTCATAATGTAAACTTCCAATGTTGGTATGTGCTACTGATCTAGACAGATATCAATAATATGTATCATCAATCGAAAGTGAAATACCTGGAGGCAGAAGGTTAAGAAGATTGAAGGAAAGAGAATAAGAACATAGAATGGTTGGTATGGAAACAACGGAACAATGAATACTGAGACGATTGATTGACATTTTGCAAATGAAGTATTTTCTATACGGTCCCCGAATTCTACTAATATATTCGATTGTACCCATTTGTATTCTCGTCCACCACATAACAACCTGTTCACCTGTAAAATGTATAATTTGAAATGTCTAAGAGAAAAGTACTGTGAACCAAATATTCGGTGACAACTATATGGAAATTATGATAGATAATATTGTAGGAAAAATTTGTGACAAGACAATAACAAGCAGATGTGTATATAATCAGAGAGGAGTTCTGTGAATATTATAGTAATTCAATGGTTAAATTCATGAGCCCTCTGGAGCTAGATCTGGATGAACTGGACGGCCGTTTCATCCAAGCATGGAGCTCTTCAGCATGCGCGTGCACGATCCAATGCTTCCAAGTTTTCCATGGTGGTCTAACATCAATTGACTCATGAATCCAAACATTGAAACCTCATTTGATCCTAGTTATTAGGTGGAAATTCTCAAGGCCACATTTAAGTCGCTCAAAAATCGTTCATAAATTATAATCATCTAAACAGATAGGATCTAAACGGAAACATATTCGTATTTTAATGTTTAGTGTGTTATAGTTCGTTTATCGCATATGTAATGTACATGCTAAGTACCATAAAATGTCTTGCTATTAAAAAGCTATTTAAAACGTTTCATAAATAGTACAAAGTACTACCATGGTTTTGAGTCAGAATGATACATAACACAGTCCGAACTCAGTACTTCAATGAATCTGCATGAAACTAGTGAAGTGTTACAAAGAACTAATACATTTTGTATTAACCATTCAATTTTAACCATAACACAATAACTGGGTGCTAGGGTGCATAGTAAATTATACACATTTTGAATAATACTGAAGCTCAGCATAAGGTTTGATGGAGAATACTGATACACTACCTATGCTCCTCCATGAGGGTTAGCAGGAGTAAGTAAGTAAGTTTCATCAGTTACCAATCGAACTCTTAAATTAATTAACAATATTTTCTGTTCTTTAGGACTAATCACAGTATAGTCTCCTTGCGTTCTCCCAAATTCTAATCTTCTGAATTCTCCATGTCCCTTTTTTCTCTTTCTAAATTTATTTCACCGGATTATACTCCTTGAATAACATCTTCAAACCCTAATATTTTCAATTACTGCTTATACTTTTACTACATCTACCACGACGGGATTTGAATCGATAATTATCTCTCTGTGCTGATGTGGTATGGCAACTAGAACTGATGTACGCACGTACAAAACTCTACATTGTTGCTGACTGACAGACTGATACTCTTACTGAATATTTAGTTTTTATCAAGGATTGATTTTACGAAGAAAAATAAAACCAGAAAATATTGGACAGCTGTTTTGTACAATTTTGGGACTCTATAGTTGTACACATACACGACTACACTTATGATCTAATCTATGACATTTAAGCTTTACGTTGAGCCATTACCTTCAAATTATTGAGTTGATATTCAATAATCGACATTGTAACCTAAAATAATGTTAAATTTCGAAGATAACGATAATCTTATATATAAACTGTTCAGTGACAGTTAAGTGAGGATGATCCGGTAATGGTTTATATTTTTCAACTCAATCTTTATGCTAATCAATAGTCAATTACACAGTCGAAAGTCACATATTGATTTTAAAGTTCGTAAACATCACGACATGATTAATATCAAAAGTCATTGTAAAGTTTTTGATTAAACCGTAGAAGTTCATCAGCGTTCGATGTCAGAAATGAAGCTATCATGATATAGTTGATGTTTCCCACAACAGGCCAGTTAAGAATCTGAATAATGTTCATTTCTTCGTTATGAGCCGATTTAAGATGCGAAACCATTTTAAATGAAAAATGTAGTATGAAAATATTTAGTTCTCATCAAAATTGTGTGATGGTTATCAGTGGAGTTAAAACTGTGCATCCCGTCACATTTTGGAGTCATCAAGTAGATCTACCGGAATACTGGAGCTGATGTTTACTCCGGAACATGGACCCAGTACCGTTTGCTTCAAAAGTCAAGCATTCTTCACTTGGCTACTGAGTTGAGATAGGTACATCCAATCAACGAGTCACAAATAAGATGAAACACGCTCTATAGATGCCAATGCAAGCCACTAGCCAACTCTACTTATAACGCTTAAAACGTACTAGTAATATAGAGGCAATCCACACACTACACACACATTCCCAAAGGGAATGATTAACAGCATTCCTAAACATCAATTAGAAAATCCGAAGACCCAACACAAATGCATTTTGAACTAGGTTAAAAGATCAGATACAATGTTCCGTTGCTAGCACTACGTAAAATCACCACCAAAAACCTTCCTTTTTTACATTGAACATGGTAACTTGTAGTCATTGATCATTTTTACCCATTTCGATCATACGCCAACACAGTTCGAAGTTATCCAACACCATTAGTGCTAGAAAACTTATTACTGAGATGGTATTATTGATACAGATAATATTGATTTATCAACCAATGCTCAACAGTTTCAGATCATTTTTTTCATACTAACTGTAACTATTTTATTGTACAAAAATCTTAGAAATGAGCACTTATATTTTAATTGGTAGGAGAGAGTTGACAAGAAATCCTGGATCATCATTTTGTGGCAGCTAATACTGATCAGCACGATAGGTTTACAATCTTGAGCGAACTAATATTCCTTGTAGGATTTTAGCTCCACCATTTAATTTCGCAACGTAATATGTTACAACTAAGCTACCAAGGACTCAACTGACCACTTGAAAAACTAACTTATATAAAACAGATTGATTATTGATTAATAACTAATCTCACATTTAACTAATCTTTTAATGCTGATAGAATCCCATTGATCATATTACAAAGTGATCGCTAGTCTAAATAACCTGACATCGAGTGCAGTATTTTATGATATGTTCAAGGTTTCATGCTAACTATTTTTAATTACAAAAGATCTTGACATAATGAACGCATTGTTAATTCACTCAAACTAATAGTCACATCAACAAGGTACAAGTATTTACAAATAGTTGTCTACACAAGATACTCAACATCCATTAGCCAAATACAATCAGCAACAGTCTACTGTGAGAGGGTACAAACCAGTTGTCATCTGAGGAGGAAATTAGAAAAAGACGATGGAAATGGATAAGACATACATTGAGGAAATCATCAAACTGCATCACGAGGTAATCTCTAACTTGGAATCGTGAGGGAAAATGGGAAAGAGGAATTTTAAAGAACACATTACATCAGAAAATAGAAGCGTATATGATGAAAAGGATGAATAACAACTGGAGAGGATTTTCCAGGACAGAGTTAGATGGAAACTGTTGTTAGGTGACCTATGCTTCTTCACGAGTAGTAGTAACAAGCTTAAGTAAATAATAGTCACATTAATGTTTAATACAAATCAACCATAACACTTATTAGTAATCAATCCTTCATTTTTTCTTTTCTTCTCTTTTGTAGTTAGTTGCTACTGATAAAGATATCAATTCTACTATTACATATACCATGGAAACTAATATTGATTTGAATAATACATCAAAATTTTTAATTCAATCAAATGGTCAAGTGATAATTAAAGAGCAATTAGATTATGAACAATGTAATTTATATAATTTAATAGTACGTGCTAATGATGGTGAATTTTATGCATTTACTCAATTATTAATTAAAATTATAGATGTCAATGATGAATTACCAGAATATTTATTAAATCCATTACAATTAATAATCAATGAAAATCAACCAGCTAAAACATTCATTGGTCATGTAAGTGATATGAATTATTTGATTATTGACAATAGATGTAAATGTATTGTTTTACTTGAATCATTTCAATTGATGTTTTAGGTCTAGAAATTGTAGATTGCTTCAATATAGCCTTATATCACAAATATTAAAAGTAATGATGAATAGTGGTTAGCAATGGAATCCAAGACGCATATTTCGTTTTAATTAGGACTCATCAACTGGATGTATCTGCATCTCGAAGTTGATGTCCTGTTTGTGACTCGAACTCAGTGACGTGCGCGAACAAACGCCATTGCGTTATCTACCTAGCTATGGATTCATCATGGCTAATTACTTGTGCAATAGGGTGAAGTTTAAATTCATTTGGTATTATTTGTTTGAATCTTCCCATTGATATTGCGGACTGTATATGATCAATCCATTATTGGTATTTGTGAATGCTGTGAAGATTGCCTCGATATAGTCTTAAGTCAAAACATTAAAAGCAATGATGAATACTGGTTAGCAGTGGAATCCAGCACGCGCGTTTCGTCCTACTTGGGACTCGTCAGTTGGATGTAGCTGCATCTCAGAGTTGATATTCACTCTACCAGAATTCAGTAGCTAAGTAGATAACGTGATGGCGTTTGAAGTAAATGGTACTGGATTTGAGTCCTAGAGTGAATATCAACTCTGAAATGCAGCTACATTCTTCTGATGGGTTTCAAATAGGACGAAATGCACGTCCTAGTTTCCACCGCTAGCCACTGTCCATATTTGTTTAGATTATAAGGGGCTCACGTGCAATTGAGTTTGTTCACATCTAATTTGGTTAAACCCTTTTGTTAACTCATTTAACGGACAGAGTCATCCGTACAATAACAACTTATATCATTTTACCTTTATTATTGTTGAACTTATATGAATATCCATGCTTGAGCATTGCTTACTGCCTACGCATATATTCATTCTGCTAGCCTTATTATTAGTCTCTTAATTGATTTGATTATTCATTCATTACACTGTGTATATATATGTACATTGTAATCCTGTTCATTGACTCGCCAACTCGCTCATTCAACTAGTTCGCACACTCGCTTTCCTGCTAGATTTTTGGCACTACTCTTTCATGCTTGCTTAAAGTACCTGTAATTTTCGGTGATATGTAAGTGGTGAAATAATAAACGTAATCAACACTTCATATTCGTCTTCTGATGAATACACCGTTGGAGCGTTATCTAGTAACGGTTGTCAGGACGAACTGTACACGAAGTTTAAGGATTATATAACCATGGTGGCACAGATGATATGTAATTCATGAATCACATTCACAGTTTTTAAAATAAAAGTATTATGTAATACATAAAGTTTAAAAGTTAATTTCACGTAATCCATTCTATTTCATTGTGTTGTGGTTTTATCCTTTATGTGTATAAATCAGTTAGTGAATTAAATAAACAGCTTACATAATTGAAATCTCCTGAACCATAGAACAAAATAAGTCTACTTCTATTCTTACTGACGAAATAGTAGTGATTAAAAACTCAATCCATATATATGCATCCGATAGGAGATAATAAATTTTCACGAACTGGTCTAAGTTAGAATAGAACTGAAAACCTAGAGGAACTGGATGGTTTCCATAAATCCCCTATACTAGCTTAAAGATGTAACTCCTAGAGTTCTAATGAGAAGTTATGATCAATGAAGTTCAATCTGTGTTGGGTATATGAAAGTTATCCACAGTTACCAAGGTAATAGGTAACAGCTGAACAAGACTGCGAATTGGTTGAAGTTAGATATTAATGCTGTTGAATATGGGCTCAATGACCTTTCTTTGATGAAACCAAAGGTCTTACGTCTGAGTCTTCCTTGTCAGATCGTGGATGTTCACTGCTGTGGAGTATTATATTAGGATAAGACAGCTGTTCATTACTATTGGGTTTTCAATAGAGGTCTAGCTAATATCAGTTCATGATTTGAACTGTAAGAATGCTACATATCATCTATACAAGTCAACAATTTATTACAATCATAGTGAATCCATAATTTTCTATTATTATCCTTGGCCATATAGTGTTTATTAGAATGGATTTTCTGGAGATTTTAGAAATTTCACAGATTAAAAACATGATTCAATTGAAGCTAAACTACCATGGAAAACCTGGAAGCACTGAACGGCCGTTTCGTCTTAGTATGGGTTTCTTCAGCAGTGCGCATCCACGATCCCGCACCCCACGAGCTTCGAACCTAGAAAATTTCTAAAATCTCCACAAAATCTATTCTGATAATAATCATCTGCTCACTAGTGACTGACTTCTGGAGATATATCCTGGAGTTCTAGTGAGAAAACTTTACCAGTGGAATTCAACCAGGTCTGTTGTGAGATAGGAACTCGCTGAAGACAATGGTGTACGGTGGCGCAACTTGGTGGATTGATTGAGGTTAGACATTAACACCGTTGGATGCCGGTCGGCTCAGTGGTTTAGTTGGTTAAGCGTCTGGCGCGAGACTGATAGGTCCTTTACGTATATATATACAGAGAGAGTTGTTCTTAAGCCTTATGTCCTAATTACCCGTTACTCAATGTTATATCATATCATAATGTCACATTGTTGGGGACGTTAGATCCTCAGAACTCACTTGGGAAAGAAATTAATTTTGTAATTTTATTTAGAAAATTTGAATTTCTTTGTTTTCGCGCCAAATACGCTCTTGTCACCTTCATTTCGTATTTCCCACTGGGAAGTATCTTAAATGGTATTGGTCCGTTGTGTCTTTCAGTATGCTACTTGTTAACTCTCCCCAAGGAAGGTTTTGTACTGTATATATATATACGTTTCGAATTGTGTTTGTTAGTATCTCTCGTTTCTGGCTGTTTGCAGAATATACTTCCCCATTCCAAGCTTGGACTCTAGTTAGCGGAACTGGGACGCATCAAATAGCTACCTTACTAGTCTTTGGTCACTGAGTCTTTGTTCTCGTTCACAGATTAAGTGAACTCATGATAGCTTCAACCCTAGCACACATTAACAAGATTAGAATTATAAGTAACCTACAAAATCCTACACAATAAAATGAATCATTCTACCACAGTTATTAATGTAGTATTATTTAAATTCGTAAAAGGAACCATTGTATGGAGTTTGTGAGTAAAGACAGGGATTTATAAACTGGAAACAGATTAGGAATATGAAATGATAAAACAATGAACAATCAGTTGATCAGAAAGCTCATGAAAATAGAAATATGCATAGGTATATATAGTTACTTATTAATTATAATTATCCTTATCAATATTATGATTGTTCACAGTCATGACACGTACAAAGCAGACTGCCCGAAAGAGTACAAGTGGAAAGGCATCAAGAAAGCAGTTAGCTACGAAAGCGGTACATAAGAGTGCACCAGCTACTGGTGATGTTAAGAATCATTATTATATACCTATAATAACGGTTCATCAATGAATCTTGGGAGTAATCATTCCTGTATTCTTTATTGAATATAACACGTCTTCTATATTCTTATTTCCCGTCATGTAAATTGTACTAGACACAACCAAAACAAAGAAATAAACAATGACAAATTTAAGGTCAATAAGAACCAGTCAACGTCGATGTGTACAGAACAAGCTGTGAAACGCATATGGAGAAATTCGAACACTTCACTTCTATCTGAAGTTTGTGCTGATGATGTCGTTCAGAAGAACGATGAAAGCTCCACGACTAAACTGTCCAGCTAAGAGAACAAAACTCCATCAAAATTATACTAGTTCCTAATTATCAAGTTAACTTAATAGAATGACACGAACATAGTAAGAATAAGTTTAATTTTATTTCAATATTACATACAAAGATATTCTTTTTTGTTTTTTTTTCACTTTATCACCATAGCTTCTTATTATTGATCGGGATAGTCCAAAAGTGAATGGTCAAGTACATTGTGAAGAACCATCACATTTAATAAGAAATCAACCTATTCTATTTGTACAAGAATCACTTTATTTAAATGAACAAACATTATCACAAAAAGAATTTCATCATCATCATCATCATCATAATAATAATAATAATAATAACTATTCTACAATATTCTCAACCTTGTCATCATCATCGTCATCCTCATTATCGTCTTCATTATCATACTCAAATACTGAAACTCATGTTTATCAACGTTTTACATTATATAGTCAAAATATATATGATCGTGAAAATCTTACTGATAAATATTTGGCTATTTTATATTGTTGGGATGGTATTATTAATTCCTTTAGTAATTCCCCTTTATCAGGTGAATATGATAATAAACATATATCAATGAATTCAATGTCATCATCTAACAGTCTAACAGCTACAATGACTATTGTTTTACATATATTAGATGAAAATGATAATGAACCAATATTTGATAAACAATTATATAAAGCTACACTTAAAGAAAACTCTCCTATAAACACTAAAATTATTAAAGTGAGTAATTGTTTAATGTTATTTCTGTATTACTTACTTACTTACTTACTTACTTACTTACTTACTTACTTACTTACTTACTTACTTACTCACTTACTTACTTACTTACTGACTCACTTACGCCTGTCACTCCTAATGAATTATAGGCCGCTGACCAGGTTATTTACGTATATAATGAAAAAATTGTCTGCATAATTAATCATTAAGTGATGACCAATCTCATATGATCTTATTTAAGGTATCATATAGGATTATAATTTGTCCTTTTGATATACTACTAGAACTGTAAATACGATACTGGTGAACTCAGAGTCCATGTGAAAGCTATAGTCAGCATAAGGTGAACTTGACTTTAGACTTTATTTTTCATATAGACTGTAAAATCGCCAGTATCGCGTTCACAGTTCCAGTGTAAGGAACGAGAACATAAGTGATAACAATCGAATGTATTCAAGGACGAAATTACAGAACTCTTTATTAAAATCTGAGAACTATACAGTAAATATTTAATTTGTAAAATATCAATCGATTGTCTCAAACTTGACTGTTCTCTTGATAAATATGAATCAACCATCTCATATTTCATTATTCTTGCATTTCTATACCAATGGCTTTTTGTTCGCGTTTTTCCCTTCTCGACCTTCGGCTGCCAGACATTCTATTGCTGACTAACATTATATACTACTTATGTCTATGTAAGTAGTACACATTACATTAGTAGTGTGATTGTAGGACAAATTAAATCCGACAAACCATCTTTCAATCTATCCATCAAGCTGTAATGTTACCATTAGTCTAAATACTTCAGTCTCGTGTTGATTATCGTAATTATCACTGACCAATTATTAACTAAAATAGCTGGTTAGCTATATATTTAACTGTTTTACTGTTTAACGTACAATACAATAGAGTGTGGAACGTCATTATCTTGAACATTGCAAATAGTTATATAGTTACGTGAATTTTCATTATTTATCATTATTGTCAGTTATCATTTGAGCAGATTTATTTATTCCATGTCTACGAATCTTTTTCCAATATTACAAGACTACAATTTAACATTAAAAGACTAGTAACCGTTAATTATTCTGATAAACTCCGCCTAGAGCCCCTCTGGGGCTACTGCGGATCCCAAGGTCGGATAAAAGAGGAGGGTTGGGCATGGGATTAGTGACCCCATCCCATAGCAAACTAACTCGCTAAAAAAACATTAACCAGAAAAAAAGCAACTATTCGGATTAGAATCAGAAATGTTTACTGCCCATTTCTTATGCGTAGTTAGGAAAGAATGATATGATTTTCAACTGTATAATTGAATGTCTAAATTCAGCAAACTAAATCCTATATTTATTATTTCACTATTCATTTACTAACGAAATCATAACAATTAAGTGATATATTTCAAAATGCACGGACTTCTTACGATGGATTAAACTGCAAAGTCGTGCATGAAGGACAGCCGACAGACTCGTTCGAAGTAAAGACCGGTGTCATGCAACATTGCTTACTCTCACCCTTAATTTTTATCCTGGTGATCGACTGGATCGTGAAGACATCAACATCTGGGGGGAAACATGGGATACAGTGAACAGATAGGATGCAGCTAGACGATCTGGAATTCGCAGATTATATGGCTCTCCTATCGCACTTACAACAACAAATGCAGGAGAAGACGACCAGTGTAGCGGTATTCTCAGCAGCAGTAAGTCTCAACATACACAAAGGAAATAGCAAGATTCTTTGATACAACAGAACATGCACCAGTCCAATCACAATTGACGGAGAACATTTGGAAGATGTAAAAACCTTTGCATGTCTGGGCAGCATGTAAAGGCGCGGATCGTCAAAGCAAGAGTAGCATATCTACAATTGAAGAACATCTATAATTCAAAACAACTGCCAGCCAACACCAAGTTTAGAATTTCCAGTACAAATGTCAAGACAGTTCTACTATACTGAGCGAAAACTTGCAGAACTACGAAAGCCATCATCCAGAAGATACAGGTGTTTATTAACAGCTGTTTACACAAAATACTTTGGATACGTTGGCCAGACACTATCAGCAACAATCAATTCAGTGGGAGAGAACAAACCAGATTCCAGTGGGGAAGAAATCAGGAAGAAGAGCTGGATGTGGATAGGAGACACATTGAGGAAAGCATTGAAGTAAATCACAAGTCGAGCCCTCATTTGGAATCCTCAAGATCAAAGGAGGAGAGGGATACAAAAGAACACATTAAGCCGGGAAATGGAGACAGACAGACATGAGAAGAATCAACAGCAATCGGATCGAACTAAAAAGAAAAGCCGAGGACGTAGTGGGTTGGAGAATGCCGATCGGCAGCCTATGCTCAATTAGGAGTAACAGGTGTAAGGAAATAAGTTAGTATGTAATGTCAAAATACAGACAGAATTGTTTATGACTGTATTATTATCCATATTGATAGATAGTCACTTAAAATTTATACCTAAAAATACTTCATTATTTAGGCAACTGACTAAATAAAAGTATTTATCAACTTCAGCTAATCATATTAGTGTCGTTATCTTAGAATCTACTTAAATCTCAGGTCTCAAATCAACGACTGTAGTCAAGAATAACTCGAATGAAGACAACACAGTTACTCGACAAAATAGAAGAACCATACTCTAATACATTATTTGCTAAATGTTCACTGATTTTTTTAAACTTCATTGTTCCTTCATTTCCATACCAATCGTTCTCTGTTCCCATTCTCTTCTCCTCGATCTTTTCAACCTTCTGCTCCCAAACATTCTATTGCTGACTGGCGTTATATATTACAGCGAGACTATAATTTATGGACGAACTAATCAGGTATAAGGCTCGAAATTCACTCATCCATTTGGTTAAATAGCCTTTTGGGATTATAGTTGACATCACTAACATTACTTTCTAAATGCTTACACAGTATGGAGAAAATGTAATGCAATAACTAAGGTAAAAGAGGATAATTACAATGTATAACAAAACTAATATTTTAAATATTGATTCCTAAAGAGAATATCTACAAAACTGTACAATATACACAGTATGTTTCATTCAAATGAAATGATCTATTCATTTAAACACATAAACATTGGTACAAGGAGGCACCAAATACTTATGCGCCACACAAATCACTCGATTTGTGTGAGGGCTGAGATACTGCCCGAGTGCTAAAACTGAAGCAGGTGGTTTCTTGGGGGACCACATCACAAGTCCTTGACCTAAGGGTCTAATCTAAAAGGCAGTGGAAGAACGTCAATAGATACAGTCCCATGGAATCCGGTGATCAATAATTGATTCATACACCATTTGTTCCTTTAGGATACTGAAGCCTATGTAAATCACTGGTTTGGAATCAGGGTTTTCCAACTCTCCTAGATGGACTCTTCGTGTCCGCCAACTCAGTTAAAATGCCGGACATTCGCTTTTCGTCCTCTCATTTTGTAAAAAAGCACCCTCACCGCGAGAAGACAGTGAGTAGAACTTCCCTGCCAGTAGTTGTATGCAGGTGGCGATGTGAGAGCATTTCGATAGGAGGATCTGACTCACTCCATCCTCGAGCGTACCAGGGCATTTGGGGGCCAGATGAAATGATTGTAATTAATTTATTTGAATACAAAATGCATAATAATATTAATTTATCAATTATACTGTAGTTACGTTCTGGATAACAATCTAGAAATTCTATTGTTTCTGACTAATTTATAAAATGAAATCTCAAGTTACTTTTAAAATCATTAAATAGAATTGCCGTTAAGTTTTCATTTCCATGGTAATTTCAGTTTCCAGAATTTAGTTGCGTAATATGATATTTCTCAGTCTCGATTGTAGGTTTCTTTATTCATTCTTATTTATTTTGTTTTTATTATGCTGTGTTACTTTCATTGAAACTGTGGACCGATCTAGGTTAGATCACCAATGAAAACCTAAATGTACCGTGAGACATTTTCGTCTTGTTGTGGGACTCCGTATCTGTTTGCATCCACGATTCTGCGCATGTGGATTGAATCCCTTACTTCCTGATGAATGAGCTGGCATTAAATGGCGTAAACGTCTAACCTTAATCTATTCATCACATTATGCGACCACCTTCCGCCATTTTGGGTGGCTACCTACCGTACACCCGAAACGGTTTAGTTACTACTTTTTCATCTTGGTTGTTATTGCCAAATTTTTACTATCACACTTGCTATTCTGGAAACACATCTTCAATCAATTCGAAGATTTCCCTCCAAGATCTTCACATTGGTTGCCATGCAGATATTCGACCACATAAATATATCATACAATTCTTCCATATTTATCGGTTTTTCTGGCCACTTTGGTCGATCAGGAATTTTCTAAGTATTTGATATTACGTATGTAAACTGTCTCCAGGTTTTAAATGTCTGAAATCAATGAATTCTCATTATTTCACTATGATATTTTAAAGCTATAAGACTAAACTTTGAAAATATAGTTTAGCTTTTCGAATATAGCTATTGCTAATAATCAGTGATTTCATGGAAGTCATAAGGTCTTAGATACATAGCATAGATCCACCTTATTTTGTTTATAGCCTAGATAAACTAGTAAATCGAAACGACACTAAACAATGTTTGTATAAGTTAGTTAGCTCGTATAATTAAAAGATATGATTCTTTTGTATGTAGTCAACATAAATTCACTCGGTATTATTTACTTGAATCTTCCATTGATGTTTGGGACCGCAGTTGATCAGTCTCTGATTGGCATATGTGTATACTGTGCGTATGGCCTTGACATTACTTCAATTCACCCTGATATGTAGGGACATCTAGCTGACGAGTCTCAAATGGGACGAAACGTGAGTCCTGGATTCGACTGCTAGCCACTATTCATCTTTGCTTAGAATGCAGTCAACATATTTTTAAAGAAGTTACAGCTTATAACACAACTGCGGATAATGGATCCAAGTTCATAAGGTAGATTTACAACAAGTGCAAATCGTTTTCGAACATAAAAGGGATTTGAACTTCTGTATGGTTAAGCATTTAACAAGCCTCAATATTTACCTTAAACGAATTTTATGTAAAAACGCAAAGATTGAGTTGAAATTTATCTAATGACCTGCATTAGCTATGTGTTTATTAATAGAGCGAGATGAATGTTTGCTAAATACTCTTAGTGGGTCATCTGATTTTAATTGTTACTGCAACTATTTTCTTACCTATTCAGACAAAATAACTTGAAAATAAAGTATACTCCATACTATGTATTTGTGGTCACATATATGTAAATTGGTAAACACAGATGGATATTATGCAATCAGTTCCATTGCATGATGTGAATATACCCAATTGATAAACTTTTAAATTATGTTTATTCATTGTCAGATTGTTTATTTAGAGAGAGAACAAACCAGATTCCATCTGAGGAGGAAATTAAGAAAAGATATTGTAAGTGGATAGGACACACATTCAGAAAGTCACCAAACTGCATTACAAGGTAAGCGCTAACTTGGAATTTCGAAGGGAAATGGAGAAGAGAAAGGCTAAAAAACACACTGTTTCGAGAATTGGAAACAGACATGAAAGGATTGAATAGCTATTGGAAATGATTGTCGAGGATAGATTTGGATGAAGAATACTGGTGAGCGGCCTATAATCTCTCCATTAAAGATATATTTTTCATTACTAGACATTGTTTACGAACAAACGTTATTCAACAATGTACTTAACCTTCTTTCATTATTAGATGCATGCTACAGATAAGGATGTAGGAGAAAATGCACAAATTTACTACAGTCTACAAAAGAATGAGCTCATTACACATTACTTTAAAATAGATCCAATATCTGGTTGGATTTTCAATTCAGTTGAAATAGATCGTGAAGCACAGTCAAAATTTAAAGTAAGCTATTTATTAATATTTTCCTCACATTTGTGTTTCTTATTCATTATGAATTAAAGGTAATGGTAAGTGATAAGTACTTTTCATATTAAGGTGAACAGAAACAGTGATTTATCCAAGACAAATCTACAAACTAATGTGCAAACTCAACAAAAAACGTTTGAAGTTCAGTGGGATGCCTTGTAATTCAGTAATTTGTCAGAGTTATAAATGTGATTGTTTAGAATCAAAATTTAGACCACCATAGAAATTTTGGATACATGTATGGGGCTTCTTAGTAGTGCGCATCCATGATCCCGCGCGCGGAATTCGGACTCAGAACCTTCAATCTCACTTGTGAGCTCTTACCATCTAGACCACTGACCTATTATTCAACAGTGTTAGTGTCTAACTTTTATCAATCCATGAATGGCTGCCCACACTATTCATCCATTATCTAAGGTAGATATCTGTCTCTAACCGACACAGATTAGACTCCACTGATCATGGCTTCTCACTAGAATTCCAGGAAATCATCTTGAAGCCAGTCACTAGAGAGAACATAAGGATCATGATCAGAATAGGATTTTTATGGAGATCGTAGTCATATTAACAGCATGTTAACCTTAATGAGTTAATTACTTAAGCATGTTACTCCTAGTGGAGGAACATAGGCTCTTTCCAGTTGTTATTCATTATAAACTAATAAATTTGAATTCTCTCATCATTAACAAATTGATTGGACTTACAATGGGTTATATTATTCAAGATGAAGAGTTGAAATAATTTAGTTAGTGAAGTTAAGACGAATGTTGGAAATAGAACTGAAAATAATAATCAAATAAAGAATAAAAAAATAATACAAGGCATAGCATTATACGTGTAGCTAAGACTATGAAAAGTAATCATAAAAATAATAATAAACATGCACGACAAATTAACATACAAAGTGTCAAATAGTTAATAATGTTACGTAATTACAGTAAAACCTATTAGCCGGTTTCGTAATTATTTGACATAAATAGATTAAAGCATAAATTATAGCGTGGATATAGATAAAATTATAACAGATAAAACTATATCAAAAGGGGTTTGTTGAGAATTTAATAATTTCAATAGTTGGGATCATGAGTCCATTGAAGCTAGACTACCACCATGGAAAACCTGGAAGCACTTGACGGCCATTTCGTCGTATTGTGGGACTCCTCAGCAGTGTGCGCCCACGACCCTGTCTTGCTGGATTCGAACCCAGGGCGTATCAGTCTCGTTTGCGAGCGCTTAACCACTAGTCCATTGTTTCCAAGATTTCCATGATGGTCTAGCTTCAAATGATTCATGATCTCAACTATTGAAATTACTCCAATTTCAACAAAAACTCCTTCTGATACTAATCGATATATGCTCAGTAGCGACTGACTTCAAGAGATATGTCCCGAAGTTCTAATGAGAAGCATTGACCAGTGGAATTCAACTGCGTCTGTTGTGAGATAGTAACTCATTGATGACAATGGTGGATTTGTTGAAGTTAGATATCAACACTGTTGGATGCCATCAGGTTCAGTGGTCTAGTGGTTAAGTGCTAGCGAGCGAGACTGATAGCTTTTGGATTCGAATCCCGTGGGGCGGGTCCATGGGTGCGCACTGTTGAGGAGTCCCACAATAGGACGAAACGGCCGTCCAGTTGCTCCAGGTTTTCCATGGTGATCTTGCTTCACTTGACTCATGATCTCAACTATTGAAATAAAACTATGTGTCTATTATGCTTCTCTTCTGTATACACACAGTTATTTATAGTCTCTATAGTGCATATCCTTAAATGTTTCCCCCTTTTACAATTTTTATACAGTTAACAATTCTAGCTATTGACGGTGGTTTTCAAACATTAAATAATCCATTATATTCATTATCAAACAATAATACAATACATCATACAGCTACAACACAATTACTTATTCATATATTAGATGAAAATGATAATGCACCTGAATTTCATGGTCCAAGACAATTTGCAATTGAAGAAAATCAACCAGCAAATACATGGATTGGTGATCTACAAGTCATTGATAAAGATGAAGGATTAAATGGTGAAATAACATTGAAATTATGGTTAAATGAAAATATTGATACTAAATTAAGAAGTAATACTACTGAATTAGTTACTGATCATGATGTACCATTTCATTTATTAAATAATGGAAGTTTATTCACACGAAAATCATTGGATAGAGAGAATCAAGTATGTAAGATTTTCATTCATTCATTTTTTTGTAAGGGGTTATTTAAATCGTTTCATTGATGTTTAGATCTGTAATGGATCAGTTATTTATTGGTATATGTCCATCCTATACGAATTGCCTCGATATTACCTTGATTCACAAGTAATATAAACAAAGATGAATGGGTTCTAAATAGTATGAAAAACATATGTCCTGGATTCCATTGTTGCCACCTTCCATCTCTGCTTATGAGTAGGATTTTATTGAACTGAGGTAATACTTTTCACTTAATTATACACGTTATGATAACTGGAAAACATATTGAAAGCAAATATGTAATTCAGTAATTAGACGACAGACTTTGAAAATAATATCAGAAATAGTTAGACTAGCCAACTCTTTTTCTGTTTACCCGTCCGAATTCTCTTGCATAGAAAGTTACGTCAGCCGATGCTTTCGGAATTTACATTTATGTACACCTTCTAGAACGAATAAGCATGGTGTCGTTAAGATAGTAAATACAAGACTATTTAGTTCAACCTGTTTAGTGTGATAGCATAATTCGATCATTCATTTTCAATAGGTTAGTATCCTCTTAAACTTTGCCAGATTCTTAGCAAAAGCATTAGCTATTCAGATAATAACCAGAGCAGTTTTGCCAAAAAAATATGTTTAAGCCTTTTTCTTACTATGACCAATTTAATGCTCAGTAAATCGATGGACGTTTTAACCCCAGGATAACTTAATTTGACAAATCTATATAGATTCACAGATTAAAAACATGAGTCAATTGAAGCTAGGCCACTATGGAAAATCTGGAAGCAGTGGACGGCCGTTTCGTCCTAGTATGGGACTTGTCAGCAGCGCGCATCCACGATCCCGCCCCCCGCACGAGATTCGAACCCAGGAACATTGGTTTCACGCGCGAGCACTTAACCACTAGACCACTGAGCCGACCGGTATCGAACAGTGTTAATGTCAAACTTCAACCGATCCACGAAGTTTCGCCACTGTACACCATTGTCTTCAGTGAGCTGATATCTCACAACAGATCTGGTTGAACTTCACTTCAGAGGAGTCCCATACTAGGACGAAACGGCTGTCTAGTGCTTCCAGGTTTTTCATGGTGGTCAAGCTTCAATTGACTCATGATTTCAACCTGTGAAATTTCTAAAAATCTCCACAAAACCCATTCTGATAAAAATCTATATAATCTCTGTCCTTTTGTGTTTTCATAACTAAAATTGATCTTATCTTTATTCACGTACATTGGTATTATTATTACATTTGTGGTGTACGCTACTGATGTCGACAGATATAAGTAGTGTGTATCATTAATCGAAAGTGGAAGGCCTGGAGACAGGAGGTTGAGAAAATCAACGAGAAAAGAACGAGAACAGAGAGTGATTAGTGTGGAGACAACGAAACAACAAAGTTTAAGACAATTGATGGATATTTTGCAAATGAAGTATTCACTATATAGTTCTCAGATTTTACGAAGATATTTTGTAATGTTTTATTAGAGTATATTTAGTTGTCCCCACTGGTACTCTCATTAACTATACAGTTAAGATTGCTGAAATTGCTATAAATCTTTCAAATACAAAGATAACTTAGTTACTGCTCGCTTCATTGTACTCTTTTATCCTGATTCATATTATTTCATACCCTCAATGACCATTGACAGAACATTTGAGTAAATTTGAAATAGAATCTTTTTCTTTTCTTTTAGCCGCATCTACAATAATTCCGAATACTAATTTCATTTAACCTATAAATGTATTTAAGTTGACATTCCATCCAAGACGTTTCAGCATTATCAGCTTTATTTTATCTTATTTAATAAACAATCCTAAACTTGTGTATTACAATGATGTTTGCTATATATATACATCGTGAAAAGTTTACGGCATTTCACTTTACAACTTACAAAAGTACCAAATCAGAAATATCGTGGTTGTGTGTAACGAAATCTCAGCACGGATACAGAAGGCCCGACTAGCTTTTGTCAACTTGCGTTATTTATAGAGTAGGCGAGGTATCCATCTACCAACCAAAGGACAGGTTTACTGCACAGCAGTTTGATCCGTCCTACTTTATGGTAATGAAACATGGCCAGTAAGAGTAGAAGATATTTGTAGGTTACTAGTATTTGATCATAGGTGTCTTCGAAACATTGCTCTTATATCCTGTGACCACTGAGTAGGTAATGCAGTTGTTAGAAAACGGGTACTAGGTAAGGATGGCAAATCAATCGATGAAGTGGTGAAACTTCATCAGTTGAGATGGCTGATACGTATGCCCAACGACCGACTGCCCCGACGTGCGATGTTTTAATATGTAGGAATAGGTTTGAAGAAAGCTAGGGGTGGCCAGGCCAAAACATGGCACAAATCCATGCAGTCAATAAAAAGTGGACTGAACCATGTTGGTAGGTACAGACTACCTGTTTGGGATCCGCGAGACGATAGCAATCGATGGTTAGAGACCTTGAATGACATGGCTCTAAATCATTTGCAATGGCGCAGGTGCATCAACTCTTTATGTTCTCCCAAATTCTAATCACTTGAATCGTCTTTGTCTCTTTTTTCTCATTCCAAATTTATTTCACTGGATTATACTCTTATAATAACATCTTCAAACGCTGATGTTTCTGATTACTACCTTTACTCTTACTGCGTCTACCACTATGGGATTTGAATTGACGTGTATATATCTGTGCTAATGTAATATGGTATGGCAACTTGAACTATTGTACGTACATACGAAGTTCTACGTTGTTGCTTACTAACTGACTGATCGTTGCTGTTGGTAATATACATCGAAAAAAAAAACATTATTCAGATGTCGATCCCTGAACTGCTAAAGTATAACTGTCAATCACTCAAAATGTTATCATCAGGATCGATCAAGAAATAAGACAAGTAAACTTGTTGAAATACTTTGTTCTAAGAATTCTATATTGTACCAAAACTATGATACTGAATAAAGCCATTAATAATAATAATATGCATATAATATTTTATTGTTTATTGTGTACAGTGTGTCAGTCAAATTCTTCTGACATTTTTAGATAATCAGTATGAGGGTTGTGGAGATTGTTAAGTTTTTGGTTGAGATCATGAATCAATTGATGTTAGACCACCGTTGGAAACCTGGAAGCACTGGACGACCGTTTCGTCCTAGTATGGAACTCCTCAGCAGTGTGCATCCACGATCCCGCGAGCGGGATTCGAACCCAGGACCTACTGGCTTCGCGCCTGAGCACTTAACCATTAGACCACTGAGCCAGCATCCAACGGTGTTAGTGTCTAACATCAACCAATCCACGAAATTGCGCGACCAACTTCCATTTTTAGATAAGAATAATTTATTCTGAGACCCCTTTGTCTTATTAAGCTTACTGAAATCATATACGTTTCTATGTGAATAAGTTTGAATCAAATCTATCCATGATGGAATAATTCTCTATCCTCTTGTTACGTTGATATAAAGTAGATCAATTTGAACCATGAATAATATTTAATAGATTGAAAATGAAATCAATATAAGAAAATACTGGATCTAGGCAAGATTGTATGAAATAGGTTACTAGATAAATAGTTTTTGATGGAGTTTTGTTCTCTGAGCTGAATAGTTTGATCATGGAGCTTTCATCGTTCTTCTGAACGACATCATCAGCACAAACTTCAAATAGAAGTGAAGTGTTCAAATTTCAAACACGTATATCTGTTTTGAACATTATTATCCTAACTGTTTGTCAACATATTTAAGCGATTCTCCATGGTTTTGAGATGGTGGAGAAAATTTGTAGCTCAGGTGGGTGATTTTGATTGAGTTTTGTTCTCTTCAGATAGAATTTTGTGCTGCTGATGATGATGCCGTTCAGAATAACGATGAAAGCTCCATGACCAAATCATTCAGCTCAGAGAACAAAACTCCATCAAAATCTCTTTAGTTTATCTTTAAGTTCAGTGTTATTGGTAAGCAAATACCTTTTTTGCTTATTTAGATGCTAATAGTAATTTATTAATTCTCTACTCATCAAAATTTGTCTATGACTGAATTATTCCATGGAAGAAAAATTCAGTATTTATTCATGATTCATTAGTGACCAGTTTCAAGTTCAGTTAGTCTTAACAACTACTGATTAAGTTGAAACTTGAAGAATTCTAAAGCAGACAAATAACCATCTATATAGCTTACTAGTAACATCTCAAACTATAAAGCTAATTGATAGGTGTTTTATTCGTAGAAAATTCTCCCATGATTGAAGACACAATTTGTCAATTAACACTACCAAAGAGTTAGTGAACACCTCCCTTAGTGGTTAGGAAAAGGTAGTGAGACTATAATTTAGGGACGACCTATGAGTGACCTTGAGGGTGTATACCTACCTAATAGGGCTAAGTGAAGTTCATAAAGCAGTTTGAAGAATAAAGATAATGATTCACAGTTGATAGTTAGAGTTAGGATTGAAATTTATGGTTTTCATCACTAAATGACATCAGCTATAATGCGAAGACACTATTTGAACGTGCGAAAATTCAAGTCATGTTTTCCTAAATCCAATCGGTTCGTCCATAAATTATAGTCTCATCAAAAGTACTGTCAAAACAATACGCAGCTTGGTTCTATCACACTTGATTGATAGCAGTCATGTAGTAGACAGAAATAAGTCATTTAAAGTTATTTATCGTATTCTTAATAGTTTTTCTTATGGTGTTCGATCTTGTCAGGTGCACATAGCAGAAACTATAGGAATTCGAGTCAACAATTCAAGTCATTGTGTTCATAAGTAGTTTATATCACCCTTATCTCTCCCTTGACCTTGATAAGTGACTTTATTTATCGCTTTATTACTTTCCATACTTTCTCTTCGTTTATCATTATTTCTCTCTTCACTCCTTTCTTCCATATTATTTTATTTTCGATCAAATATACGATTCATGGCCCAATTATCTGAACACTTCTCATTACGTAATCTTATGGTTTTTATGAATGTTATTTCAGTGTCTAATTTCAGTTTCTAATCACTAATCTCTTTCCCATTATGTAACATTGATTCAAGCCTTTATTATTCTTATCACATCTAGTACACATGTCATCACACTATCAACTTGTACTTTTCACTTATTTATATAATCTATTCCTAGTATAGGACTCCTCAGCAGTGCTCATTTACGATCCCGCACCACGCGGGGCTCAAACCCAGGACCTGCTGGCTTCGCGCGCGAGCACTTAACCATTAGACCACTGAGCCGGCACCCAACAGTGTTAATGTCTAACTTCAACTAATCCACGAAGTTGCGCCCCCGAACACCATTGTCTTCAGTGAGCTGATATCTCACAGCAGACCTGGTTGAACTCCACTGGTGACGGCTTCTCACTAGAACTCCAGGAGTGTCTCCCGAAGTCAGTCACTGGTGAGCAGTTGAAGTTAGACATTAACACCGTTGGATGCCGGCTCAGTAGTCTAATGGTTAAGTGCTCGCGCGCGAAGCCAGTAGGTCCTGAGTTCGAGCCCTGTGTGGTGCGGGATCGTGGATGCGCACTGCTGAGGAGTTCCATACTAGAACGAAACGGCCGTCCAGTGCTTCTAGGTTTTCCATAGTGGTCTAGCTTCAATTGACTCATGATTTCAACCTTTGAAATTTCCTAAATTCTCCACAAAACTCATTCTAATAATCTATTTCATTGTTATCATCATTGACGCATAAACTACCTTGATTAGTTTAATCATTTCGTATATGCATAGAAATATTAGAGTGAGGATCTAATCGAACAAATATTGTTTGCTTATATATGTTGTTGTAAATGTTTTGTTTAAGAAGGTTACTGACACCTGTTATTCCTCGTAGAGAAGCACAGGCCACTCACCAGCATTCTCCATCCAACTCTGTCCTGGGCAGTCGTTTCCAAATCTTTCAAATTGTTATTCATCCTTTTCATATGTGCTTCTATTTCCCGACGTAATGTGTACATTGGCATTCCTCTCATCCGCTTCCCTTCAGAATTCCAAGTTGGGACTTGCTTCGTCATGCAGTTTGATAATTTCCATCGTCTTTTCTTGGTTTCCTCTTCAGCTGGAAGCTTGTTTGTTCCTTAAGAAATTAGCTATTTAAAAGAATATAAGTGCAATCTATAGTCTATCGTATAAGATATGTTAATCATTTCTGAAGTAAACCAATTCTGAATACTATCCATATTAATTTATATACGACCATATGTCGTTTATTTACTTTTATCTTGTTCATAGTTATTCTTATCTTGTTTCTATTACATGTACTATTTTTTTTTCATTATATAGTCTCATTATTGTTTCGAAGTGATTGCCTACGATAATGGTCAAGATAAAACTTATTCTACAATAGATACAATTTGTATACGTGTACTTGATTTAAATGACAACAAACCATATTTTATTGAAATTATAGGAGAATATTATGGTTAGTGATTGATAAATTTATTTGCATATTGATTAGAATTTACTCATTAGTTCCTTGTTATTTTTTTGGTATTTTGTATTGAATATCAATTCGTGAAGTTAGTTGCTAAGGTAGTTGAGAAATAAACTTTGATTATAATACATATAAACTGGAAGAAAATTCTGTTGAATAGTATATCTGTGATGTGCAGACAAACTGAAGTATAATACTAGTATAGAAGTTGTGGAGATTATTAAGTTTTGATTGAGATCATGAACCGATTGATGTTAAACTATCTTTGGAAACCTGGAAGCACTAGACGGCCGTTTCGTCCTATTGTGGGACTCCTCAGCAGTATAATATTCAAAAATTACTACGCTTGATTGATGATAATATTGATGATTTCAATTGACTATAATTCTCTGTTATATTCACGTCGCTTATTACTTATACTTGTAGAAAACAAGGAATCACTGCAATTTCCACAACGCGAAGTACGAACAACACGACCGGTAGTGAAGATTTATCAACGTCAAAGCATAAAAAAAGCTATACTAGGACTTAAAAGAAGATCTTTTAAGAAAAAATAGATAGTGGCTAGCAGTGAAATGCATGACACGCATTTTGTCCTATTTGAGACTCGTCAACTGGATGTACCTGCATCTCAGAGTTGATGTTCACTCTGGGACTCGAAACCAGTACCGTTCGTTTCAAACGCCATCGCGTTATCTACTTAGCTATTGAGCCCTGATAGCCACTTGCTTATACAATAGGATGAAGTTTAAATTTACTTGGTATTGTTTACTTATATCTTCACATTGATATTGAGGACTGCAATTGATTAGTCTCTTATTGGCATATGTGCAAACTATGCGTATTGTCTCGATATTGCATTAAGTCATAAGATGAATAGTGTCTAATAGTGAAACCTAATTCTAATAAACATGCCATTTTAGAAATGTTATTTTTTTGTATAATGTACATACAATAATTCCATTTAGTTTCTTTATGTGGAAAATTTATATCATACTAATATATTATTGTTATCATTCTATATAGATATATCTTATTATAGATGTAAATAAATCCCCAAAATATATAACTCTGTAAGTCTTAGACATTGGATGTTGATCACATTAGTTTTAATGGACTCGTTTGGCTAGAGGCATTCGGTCATGCATCCGCATCAGATCACGAGTGGGAACGCCATACTCAACATCTCTTGCAATCGCTAACCAGCCTAGATCAGTCAATCCTCGATATATTGATAGCTTATCAAATATATCTTTGAACCTCCTTGCTTCTGACTTTTGATTTCACTTGGTGGGTACGATTCATATTAAAAGGTGTTACTGATTAAAGTGTTGTCAAACTACATATACCTATAGTATCTTCATTATAATTGTTCACAATATATAGTTTACTCTTCTTTGTTCTTTTCCTTCTTTTTTTTATACTTTTCTCATGATTGTTTACCCAAGATCTAAATAAAACATCTATGAATCAATCACTGACTACAATCAATTCAACCTCTAAGAATCTTAATATGACTGAATTAATAAACATGTCACAGATCATCTCTTCAATACATCTATCTATTAATGAAAAACCAGGTTATTGTATATGTATTATTAAAGCATTTGATATAGATGAAGGTAATAATGCCTTAATACATTATAATATAAAACAATACTATTTAAATAGAACTATTAAAACAATGAAAGATATTACTATATTTGATGCATTGAAATTGGATACAACAAATGGACGTTTAATATTAACTAAAAATTTATATCAATATGATATTGGTATTTATCAATTCATAGTGATTGTTAAAGATCATGGAAACCCTGTACAAAAATCTGAAAAAGTAAGTCAATTTAATCTTTTATGTTTTTCTTTTTTTTTTGTTTTTTTTTCTTGGTTTTGGTTTCAAAGTTTACATTTTGTTTAAAATGAACATTCTCTTTTTCTTTTTTTTCTTTTTTTCTTCTCAAAACAACATACATGATTATCATTAAGGAATTCAGATTGTAGAGGGAGGGTCGGAGAAATGTGACTTGATAGATTGAATATGTATTTTGTTTTTTTCGATTCATTTCTGTCTTAAAACGGTGACATATGAAATGGTGGAGAAGATTTGGAGCTCACGTGGATGATTTTCATGGAATTTTGTTCTCTGAGCTGGATTTGTCAATTCGTCAATGACAAATTTAAGATCAATTAAGAACCAATCAACATCGAAGTGTACAGAATAAGCTGTGAAACGCATGTGGAGAAATTCGAACACTTCACAACGAAACCATTCAGCTCAGAGTACAAAATTCCATCAAAAACGTACATATATTCAAAAAGAATAACTATATATGTATCGAAGTTAAATTTGGATTCCCTATCTGTTCTCCTATCTATCTATATATCCATATATATAAGCATGTACTTATAGAAACCATTTAGAAATTATGTCCATAATTTGTGATGACTTAGCTTCAGTAATCAATCACCTTGGTAACCGTTTATATATATATATATATATATATATATATATATATATATATATATATATATATATATATCAATGGTGTTTGAAATCAAAAAGCAATAATAAGCGGCAACTATAGTTTGTTAACGGATAGCACAGATCACAAAGCTACAACCACATTAGGCGAATTTGAAATAGATAAGCGAATATGTGTATATGAGCAAATACAGAGACAAATTTGTAGTCAAATCGAATTGATGTGCAGATAGGTAAGGCAAAAGCTAGTAATAGGATTCCAGTATATACGGGAAAGAGAATGGTTGATTGAGCAATATTTAAGTGACTAACTTTTAGCTACAGATATATATATGTACAGGCTGTCATATGTGATCACAATAGTACAAAGAAATAGACGAGTTCATACTTCTCGAATAACACTGTCTGTCAAGTAAGTTAATAAAAGGACTAATAATCGAGATTGATTGTAGAATAGTTGCTATAAATTTTTGTAGTATACTTTGCGTAGACGTACACTGGCTACAAATACACTAAACACCTTTCAGTCATATTCGTTATAAAGTCAGTTACCATATTTGATAGCATCAGAATTTAATCTTTCGGTTAGATGTTACTGAATAGTAGTACTGATGTTTGTACTACGTCTCCAAACTGTAACTTATCACTTCAAGAGCAGTTATCTATGCTTGACATAATTAATCCTTGGAAAGTTCTAGATATTAATATTTTTTATAAAAAACGGTCCCGTTGAAAATCAATTACTTATTATGATTATATTATGAATCGAAACACCACGGATCATTACGGAACAATCAATTGAATGAAATTAATCATTCTCATCCACTTCATTTATTACGAGAAAGCTTTTGATAGCGTGGACAGGACAACACTATGGAGGCTTCTTTGACTATATGGCGTGCCTGAGAATATAGTCAATATCATACGAAATTTCTATGATGGATTAAACTGAAAAATTCTGCATAAAGGTCAGCCCACAGATTCTTTCGAAGTAAAGATCGGTGTCAGGCAACGATGCTTACTCTCACCCTTTATCTTTCTCAAGGTGATCGACTGGATCATGAAGACATCAACATCTGGGAAGAAGCATGTGATACAGTGAACAGATAGGATACAGTTGGACGATCTAGACTTCGCAGATGATCTGATTATTCTGTCGCACATGCAACAACAAATGCAGAAGACAACCAGTGTAGCAGCAGCTTCAGCAGTAGTAAGTCTCAATATACACAAAGAAATTAGAAAGATTCCCCGATGCAACACAACATGAACCAATCCAGTCACAATTGACAGAGAAGATTTGGAAGATGTAAAAAACTTTACAAAGCTGTGCAGCATCATTGATGAACACGGTGGATCTGATACACATGTGAGCGTGAGGATCGGTAAAGCAAAAGTAGCACATCTACAATTAAAGAACATCTGGAATTCAAAACAACTGTCTGTCAACTGCCAACATCAAAGTCACAATTTCCAGTACAAATGTCAGGACAGTTCTACTGTATGGGGCAGAAACTTAGAGAAGTACGAAAGCCGTCATCGAGATGATACAAGTGTTTATCAATAATTGTTTACACAACATACTTCGAATCCATTGACCAGACACTATCAACAACAACCTACTGTGGGAGAGGATAAAACAGATTCGAGTGGAGGAAGGAATCAGGAAGAATCTCTGAAATTGGATCGGACACACATTGAGGAAATCAATTGAAGTGCATCACAAGACGAGCCCTCATTTGGAATGCTCAAGGTCAAAGGAAAAGAGGAAGACTGAAGAACATATTACACCGAGAAATGAAGACAGATGGACATGTGAAGAACGAACAACAATTGGATAGAATTAGAAGGAAAGGCCTAGGACAGAGTGGACTTGAGAATGCTGATCGGCAGCCTATGCTTCATTAGGCGTAACAAGTGTAAGTAAATAGTAAGTAAATATGAATTATGAATAACTATTACATAACAAATTATAATTCTTTGTTCTATTTTTTTTTCAATAATTTTCTCATGCAATCAATTCTTTATATTCTTCATTAAAGATCATTCAATTAATTATTGAAGATACACCAGCTCGTGGAAATTGGTTACTTCCAGAAATGATTCAACAACACAATACATCTTTTAGTAATTTTAATTATACCCTATTAGAAGCGCATAAAATTTTCATAGTTATATTATTATCTGGTATATCAACATTTATAGCTGCTTTATTAATTAGTATTATTCTATGTTTGATCAAACCATGTCGAAACATCCAAATGAATTGTTCAACTAAATGGCATTATAATAGTATATGTAATAATAATAATAATAATAATAATAATAATAATAATAATAATAATAATAATAATAATAATAATAATAATAATGTTACTAATCTTTATACAAAAGAATTTAATGAAACACTCTTCAATCATAACCATAACAAGAGAAGAATTGATCACATAGAAACAATGAACAATATTTACAAGTTTAGTTTATATAATCAACAATGTGAAAACCAACCACAGCAACAACAACAACAACAACAACAATCTGATCACTTGAATAGTTATACATCAGGAGGAAATGTTGATAGTTCATTTGATAATATTTCATTGTATACTAATTATCAGAATCAAGATCCACATCAAGATCCTAATCATGATCATGATCAAGATCATGATAAGAAGTTATTTATGACTAATGATTGTTCAAGAATAGATTATATAAAAAATTATTTTATACCATATTATAATTTAATTGAAACAGATACATATTGTAATCATATGAATATTAGTAATCAAACTACATGTACAATGAATGTAAATGCTAATGAACAAGAATTAAATAGGAATGATGAAATTCAACCAGTATTTATTGAAAGTGTTTTAACACCTTTGAATATAATTAAAAATACAGTAAGTGAATAATTAATTAATATTAGATGGGTTTTGTGGAGATTGTAGTCATTTCAATGGTCACGATCATGAGTCAGTTGAAGTTAGACCACCATGGAAAACTTGAAAGCACTGGACGACCGTTTAGTTCTATTGTGGGACTCCTCAGCAGTGCGCATCCACGGACTCGCGCCCTGCGAGATTCGAACCCAGGACCTACTGGTTTCGCGCACGAGCACTTAGACACTAGACCACTTAGCCGGCATTTAATGGTGTTAATGTCTTACTTCAACAATATCAATGAAATCGACGTAACTGACAGTAAGGCACTTATTTACTTACTTAGTTACACTTGTTACCCTTGGTCGAGGACCATAGACCACCCACCACTATCACCATTCTCCATCCATCTCTATTCTCGATAATCCTTTCCATTTGTTTTCAGTTGTTATTCATTCTTTTCAGATCTATTTCTATTTCCCCACGTGGTGTATTCTTTGGCGTTCTACATTTCCGTTTCCTTTCATGATTTTAAGTTAGCGCTTCCTTCAAGATTCAGTTTGGTGATTTCCGTAATGTATGTCCTAACCACTTATAACGTCATCTTCTAATTTCCTTTTCAGATGGAAACTGGTTTGTTCTCTCCCAGTGTAGGTCGTTGTTAATGGTACCTGGTCAACAGATGTTGAGTATCTTGCGTAGACAACTGTTTATAAATACTTGTATGTTTCTGATGATGGTTGTAGTAGTTCTTCGTGTTTCAGTTCCATACAGCAGAACTGTCTTGATTTTCGCATTGAAGATTGTGACTTTGTTATTGTTTGACAGTTGTATTTAGTTCCGTATGTTCTTCAACTGTAGGAATACTGCCCTTACTTTGCAATTCCTTATCTTCACATCTACATCAGATCCTCCTTGTCCATCGATGCTGCCGTCCAGGTACGTGAAAAAATTCCACATCTTTCATTGTTTCTGCATCAAATGTGATTGGTTTGGTTGGTGTTCTCCTTGTTGTATTTGAGGATGTTCTTATTTTCTGTGTATGTTGAGGCCTACATATGCAAAGGCTTCTGCTGCACTGTCTGTCTTCATCTGCATTTGTTCGTGTGTATGCGATTGAAGGGCTATGTCATCTGCGAAGTTCAAATCGTCTAGTTACATGCAAGTTGTCAGGTTTATTCTGTACTTATCAGATGTAGAGATATTCATTACTCCGTTTGTCACCAGAAGAAGGAAGAAGGGAGAATGCAAGCAACCCTCTTTGACATCGGTTTTCACTCGGAATGCCTCTGTCCGCTGTCTTCCATGCACCAATTTACTGTTTAGTCCGTCGTGTTGATGATTTTCACCAACGCACCATAGTGACGAAGACATTTTCATAATGTTCTCCTATCCACACTGTCAAATGCTTTCTCATAGTCAAGGAAGTTGTTGTACAGTGACAAATTCCTTTCAATTGGTTGTTCACTGATGATCCGTAGTATCGCGATTTGGTCTGTGCACGACTGATCCTTACGGAATCTAGCCTGTTGATATCAAAATTGGGTGTCTACTGCTTCCTTCATCTGGTTCGGCAACACTCTGTTGAAAACCGTTCCTGGTGCCGGTATTAGTGCGATGCCTGTGTAGTTATCAAATTTTCTCAGAACTCCTTTCTTTGGCATATTGATGGGGTATACTTTTTTCCAGTCTATCAATGTTATATGCTTGATTGCTATTACGAGTTCACCTTACTTGGTAAACGGAACGAAGGTCAAAATACAGTGACACGATAGTCTATTCTAATTCGTTGTCTCCAGCCCTGCTAACTAGATCAAGAAGTCTTGATAGGCTTAGAGAATGTATCCTACAATCACCCAGAAAATACGAGGTCACTAAGCACACAAATCAAGCATATTTCTACAATGATAGAAACGCCTTTGGGAGAGCCACAAAATAGCGTACTAAAAAAATCCCTCAACCAATGACATTCAAGGATTTCAGAGTGGGAAATGTAAGCTGTAGGTTAACTAAGCGTCTGTTGGCATGAAAACCCAAAATTCAAAATTTTAGAAGAAAATTATAAAATTAGGACCTTTTCCAGGTGAGTTCTGACGATCTAACGTCCTCAACACAGTGGGACTTGTTACTCCCGCTAAATCTTCTTTAATGGAACGTGAAGAATGTTTACAGTTACTTCTATGTCTGACTTTAGAGCTTCTGCTAATATATTCTCAGGTCCTGCTGTTTTCCCATTCTTGATTTATCTGATTACCATCCTGATTTCTTAGTTCGTTGATGGAATGACATCCATAGGAAGGTCTGTGTGTGCTTCTTTGATTTCCGGTGGATCCAGTGGAGGTGGTCTATTCATGTGTTTTTCAGTGTTCTACACATCTGTTCCTCTGTTCTCGAATGAAAATGAATTTGCCGAAAAGCGAAGTCTTAGCTGAACCAATCTTTCCTATTTAATGTTCCAATAGATATATTCCGTTTACTATAATATTTCAAACAGTTGTCTTATATTTCCTTTTGTTGTAGCTTTTTTTATGTCGTTGCTTGGTTTTCCACGTATTTCTGCTTGTCGGCTCTAATGCTCCTCTTTGCTCGCTTGTTTGCTTCAGTGTATTTAGCTTTTGCCTTAACTTTCTCTGTTCGTGTTCGGCTATTGTTAATTGCTGCTTTCTTGTTCTTCCTTCCTTCAATCTTGTCCAGTGTTTCCATTAAGATCCATTCTTCATCCTTTCTTGAATCCTGGTCAGGATTTTGATAGAGATCCATTCCTTATGATGATGCTTCTGGAGACCCAGAACCTCCTGAGATGTTGAAGCTGGTGCTTGTTTGATCACTTCCCAGTTGTCCTTCATAGTAGTTTCTTCTTCTATGGATAAATCTTGTAAGGCTTGGAACCTGTTGCTGAGACCTATCTTGAATTCATTGAGTTTGTCAGTGTGTCTAGTAAAGGCTATATTGAGCCTCTGTAATGCTATTCGTCCAGTTGTCCAGTGTTTCTTTAGTTTCAGTTTCATTTTGGCAACCTCCAGGTGGTCATCTGATGCTATATCAGCCTTTCCCTTAGTTTTCACGTCTTTCATTGACCTTGTGAACTTTTTACTGACTCAAACAGTTTATCTACATTAAGTATTACGAAAGACAGGGCTAAGGTGGATCAATTTCACATGATTGAAAATTAATGTATTTTCAGAATGTGTTTTGTGGAGATTTTTAGAAATTTTCACAGATTGAAATCATGAGTCAGTTGAAGCTAGACCACCATTGAAAACCTGGAAGCACTGGACGGCCGTTTTGTCCTAGTATGGGACTCCTCAGCTACGAAATGTGAATATTCTGAGTTTGATCCATAGTGTAGTTATGTATTAGCACTGTTGGAAAGTTGCAAACTACAACTAAACAGTTATTCAATACTCGATAGTATTGTGTTATAACTTGTACCCTGTGACCCTATCAATGTATAACGTAATGATACCGCCAATTGGAGAACAATAATTTATCGACCGGACCAATGACGCATAAACACGTACGAGCAGTCTAGAGTCTCTATCAATCCTGCTTCTTAACTAGCCTTGCCTGTTCGAGTCCAGAACACCGATCTCAGCCTCTGCTATATGAATCATTTATTTCAATCATACTGGGTTTATATTATCAACCAAACAGATCACATCTTACCATGAAATAGGAAACAACATTTGTACAATATTTAGCCAAAAGTGGCTGTAAATGTGGGAGATAGCATTTGATAGACAGGGTACAACTCAATAATCGTAAATCGTAAAATAATAGTTCATAAGTCAAAGTGAAACTCATTATAAGAGGGACATGAATATGTCCAGTTTAGTTATTTAAAAACTACACGGTAAAAATATACGCATAGTATTGGTCCATAAATGGATCCCAACAGTTACCATTCATTATACCCATCGAGATACAATATTTTATTAGTCTTCTAGTTTATATCATTTTGTAACACAATGATATCTTCACATAAAGAAATACAGTTGAATATTACCTTTTCTTCTTTTGATTGTTAGTTTCAACAACCTGAATGGAATTCACTCATTTTAGAATTACCACAAAATGACTGTCAACAAATATTGTTAAATACATCCATGGATGACAAACAATTGAAATGTTCTTTACATTTACCACAACAATTAAATTGTAATACTCAACTATACGATTCATCTATAATGTCGATTCCATCAGTTTCATTAGCATCTTTGAATAATTCTACGATGAAACCTGATCTTATTTTACTTCAATGTACAAATACCCTACCTATTTCTTCAACTTATTATATACAAAATGATAGATCTGTTTCATTAAATCCCACTTCTATGTCCAATACAGCTGTACTATTGGATCTTAATACAACCAGTTTAAGGAATCCTAAGTCAGTGAATAAAAGGAACATAGATTGTAGTGTACAAAATATTATTACTCCAATTGCTAGTGAAGAACAACGTTCAGATAGTGGTCGAGGAGCAAGTGATGAAGAAAATTCCAATCGAATTCATTTAAATAATAAAGATTCGATTTTGCCATCATTAATCCATTCAACTGAACATAATAAAACTAATCAAGTATCTGTACATTCAACAAAATGTTTAGAGGATTTTCTAGTCCAATGAAATCATAAGCTGCTTTGTTCTACTCAATATTGGGCATTTTACCGACAGTCCATTATACAAAACTCTCTTCAAGAAGAATATATTTATTCAAATCATCTTTAAAAATGACATAAAACCTTGAAATCATTTTATTGAGAGAATAACCTTATAATTAATCATATCGAATGTTTCAATCTGTGTTTCCAAAGGTAACTGTTAAAATAAATATTTAGAAGTCACAGTTTACCTTCTCATTGTTATGTAATGGCTGTGCTTCATTAACCAATCACTCTCGTTACCGTTGTCATATAATGCTCAACGGTGTTTGAAATCCGAAGGCAAAGAGAAGCAGCGACTACAGTTTTATTAGCACATAACTCAGACTATAAAGCACTAAGGCGAATGAGCGAGTCAACGAACCGAGAGTGTAGTTTTAAATGTATATATATATATATATATATATATATATATATATATATATATATATATATATATATATATATATATATATATATATATATATATATATATATAGGGAAATGAATGGATCATCGAATCAATTAACCAGTTAATAATAAAGCTAGCAGAATGAATATGTGCGTAGGCGGTAATCAATCATACAAGCACAACAATAATGAATGGTACGATAAGTTGTTATAGTACGGATGACTTTGTCCGCTAAATAAGTTAACAAAAGGGCTTAACCAAGTTAAATGAGAACAAACTCAATTGCACGTGAGTTGCTATAGTTACTTAGTAACTTTAAAATATGTTAATACATGTGAGTAGTAAGAGAAGTGTGGTGTGTATGTGTGTGTTCCTTAAACAGAGTGATATATAGTAGTATGTATCAAGAATTGAAAGTAGAATTCTTACTGGAAGTGTAGTGAAGGGGAACGAAAGGTAAGGCAACCGATTACTTGGCAAAGTATAAAAACCATACTTCAATACTTCATTTGCAAAATGTTCATTAATTGTTTTAGACTTCATTATTCCTGTATTTCGATACCAATTGATTTCTGTCCCCGTTCTCTCCTCACCGATCTTCTCAACCTTCTGCTGCCAGGCATTCTATTTTTGACTAGCGCTATATACTAGTTAGGTTGACAGAAGTAGCACACATCAAAGCAATAGAAGAAATAAGGTGAACAGAAAGCAATCGGAATAACAGTTGAATTATCATATTTCGCAATGGATGTCGATATTTATAAAAAATTTCTATGAAGTTGATTTACGGTTAAAAATAAATACATCCTCTGAAATGAACAAGTTTTCACAATCTAATTTATAGAATTATTCTTTATCTCGTTAGAGTCAATTCACTTTAAATCTAGAAAACGTTTTGTCCGCAAATGCCCTGGTCCGGCCGATAGTGAGAAGAGTCAACTCTCCCTCTCCAAATGCTCTAACTTGACTATGCGTATACAGATACTGTAAGAAAAATGTTACTGAATGACTTGTCACAGTGAGGGTGTTGTTTACGAAAGCAAGAGGACGAAAAGCGAATGTTCGGCGCTTTTACCGGGTTGGTTGACACGGAGAGTTCATCTAGGAGAGTTGGAAAACCCTGATTCTGAACCATCGGTACACATGCGCTCCAGTATCCTGAAGGAACAAATGGTATATGAATCAATTATTGGTCACCTGCTACCATGAGACTAGATCTCCTGACGTTGCTTCACTGCCTTGTAGATTAGACTTTTAGGTTGAAGGCTCCGAGTGTGGCCAGTACGGAAACCACCTACTTCGATTTGAGCACCCAGGCAGTATCCCAGCACCTACAAAAGCCGAATGATTTATGTGGCGCCTCCTTGTACCAATGTTTATGTGTTTAAATAAATAAATAAATAAATAGAAAAATCTATCCAATAATCCTGTCTCCATTTCGTTAATCATATTCATTTATATCTTCATGCAATGCAAATTCATGATACTGTCATTTTCTCTGAGCTGAATGGTTTGGTCATGGAGCTTTCATCGTTATTCTGAACGACATCACCAGCACAAACTTCATGTACAAATGAAGTATTCTAATGTCTTCACATATGACTCTCAGCATGTCCTCTAGATCTTGATGTTGATTGAAATCGATCCAATTAATCAACCAGTCAGAAAAATTATGGACAAATATTTGACCGAATTTCCAATCAACAGGAGATACAACCAAAATAAAAAAGAAAACAATTGCCAGGTTAAAGGTTAACTATAACCAGTCAACATCGAGGTGTACAGGATAAGCTATGAGCCATGTGTGAAGAAATTCAAATACTTCACTTCTATCTGAAGTTTGTGCTGATGATATCATTCAGAATAACAATGGAAGCTTCACGATCAAACCATCCAGTCCACAAAACAAAACTCCATCCATGTTATCCATCTGAACTACAAATCTTCTCCATCATCTCAATACCAGTTTTTTTTTCAAAATGCTACAATCACAATAATGAAAGTTAATAGTTATAAACAATAATGGGAAGATATAAGTAAACAACATCAAGTGAATTTAACTCTTCATAATAAGATAACATCTCTTTTGGAAAGAGGAAGAAAGGAAAAAACCCGTTAAAATAAACAATCATTAAAAGGAGTATTCTCTTATTAATCGTATCAGTTTATTGTTGAATATATATATTCAATTGACATTAAACTTACTTAGAATAATATCAAAATGATAAGATAAATTAAAAGTAATGTCCAATTGGAAATCTATTGAAGTAACTTCAGATTAAGAAAATCTCTATTTTTATATAATCTGTCAATAAGTATACCGATAAGTTTGTCATGTTTAATACACTTGAGATATGAAATATCATAGAAGTATATGTCATAGTGTTATATTTCTCGCTTACGGTTATAACCCAGCTATTTCTATTGCTTAGTATTCTCGGACATCGATTCACTCGACAAGTCCCCAAATCAGAACACGGTTGAACAGGGAAAATATTATATTCCAAATAACGAGGTTAGATGGAAGTAAGAAGCAAGTAAGTAGCAACAGGGAAAGTGTTAGTATATTTATAGTTTTTCACATGAGAACATTTCTAGAGCGTTCACTAAATATTGACTAACGCTGATTGGATAATAATTAGCCTTCCTATCCCATACACACGAACAGATGCAGACAAAGACAGCCAGTGTGGCAGCAGTCTCTGCATCAGTAGGCTTCAGCATACACAAAGGGAAAACCAAGGTCCTCAAATTCAAGGCGGAGAACAGCATTCCAATCACTCTTGATGGAGAAACTCTGGAAGATGTAGAATCCTTTACATACCTGGGAAGCATCATCGATGAACAAGGAGGTTCAGATGCAGACGTAAAGGTAAGGATTGGCAAAGCAAGGACCGCATTCCTACAATTGAAGAACATATGGAACTCAAAACAACTGTCTGTCAACCAATATCAAAGTGAGAATCTTCAATACCAACATCGAGGCAGTTCTGCTGTATGGAGCTGAAACTTGAAGAACTACAACAACCACCATCAAGAAGGCACAAATATTTATAAATAGCTGTCTTCGCAAGATACTCAACATCCATTGGCCGGAATCCATCAGCAACAGCCCTTTGAGGGAGAGAACAAACCAGCTTCCAGCTGAGGAGGAAATTAGGAAAAGACGATGGAAATGGATAGGACATACACTACGCAAACTTGGTATCCTGAAGAAATGAGGAATAGAGAAAGGACAAAGAACACATTACATTGGGAAATAGAAGCAAATATGTAAAGGATGAATAACAACTGAAAAGAGCTGGATAGGATTGCTTTGGACAGAGTTGGATGTAGAATGCTGATGAGCGACCTATGCTCCTTCACGAGGAGTAACAGGCATGAGTAAGTAAGTAACTGATTTAACATGGTAGTTGGAGGTAGTCAACAAGAAACCCTTGACCTAGCTTTTCTGCTTCTTAGCACTCGTCAACAAGGTGTACCTGTTATCTCAATATAATGCATTCACTGTTAAATCACCTAGACTAGTGACCATATCGCATCTTGGTCGATAGAACTCGATTTACACTAAGAAGGACTTGACATACATGATATTGATCACTATCCAATAATCAATCAATTGCAACTGATTTATTTACTAACTATGTTCAGTTTTGATTTTTATCCAGTTTTCAATACATCTCATATAGATAAAGGTTTGATTTAAAATCATTTGATCAATCGTATATAGAAAATTTAGTTATAGTATTATACATTCAATCACAATAAATGAATTAAGCTATTTGACATTTCTTTGTAAATTGATTTGACATTTAAAAACCAAACTTAAACTGATAGAAATGATGATGTCAAGTTCATTAGTCTAATAATTAGAATATCAGCAAATGAAAGTGATTATAGATCCATTTCCTTAAATGACTTCTGTACATTTCATAGTTCAACTCACGATTAGATCTTACTTAATTAGGTCACTTTTGAAAACTTGAAAGCACTGGATAGCTATTTGTAGGAAGTAATTATCTATAGATGAATTTCTTGACTAAGTCCCTATATTGTCACACACACACACAGAAGGGTATAGTCACAATAGGTAACTTTATATGTAGCCAACAATCATAATCTGTTTCTAAGATATAAGTTAATACAATTGGTAAAAAGATGCAAAATATTAATCAAATACTCAGAGAACAATAAATACATAGACACCGAATAGTAGCAGGGATACGTCAAACTGAATCAATAACAACAGTTAGTCATATTCACTTGGTGTTGTTTTACTTGTATCTTCTCATTGTTATTTAGGACTGCAATTGATCAGTATCTTATTGATATATATGCATCCTGTGCGGATTGCCTCGATGTAGCCTTAAGTCAAAAGCTTTTTCAGGAAATATGGATAGTGGCTAACAACGGAATCTAGGACGCGCGTTTCATATTGATATAAGTGGTCCAGTTTCATGATTTGTAGTTAAATGAAAACAGTTAGAGTCATAACCAGTCTGGGACTAGGTGAGTTCTAAATAGCAGGAGTTTAAATTATATATTATTTGTAAGTTCACTGTTATCGATAGTGATGTGCACTGGGTCTTCAGTGTTGGTCTTACCACGATCAATTTGTCATTTAAATTATGTAATCCTAACATTTTCACAAACTTCTCTATACCAATAATGGTTACCATAACCATTTAAGTTGTTCTGAAAGTGTTCATATTTATCGAATCTGATATAACCTAATTACACTTGTTACATGATTTCACCAGTCTTTACTGTGAAATATTATACAATCTAATTAA